GAGCGGGGAATGGGGCAAAGGCAAGCAGAATTGAATGGGCTGATAAATTTGGAAGTTAGAAGCAGTGAGTCATGAGAGTAACAGTTTTCGCTGTGAACAGGGTGAGTATCATCAGCTAAGAATCATGATTTTGAAACTGATTAGGAAGGCAGAAAGCTCAGGAATAAGTGATAGATCTCTCTGAGTTCACTTCTTATGTGTCTTTATGGAGAAGTTAACCTTAAAAAAAATGATCTGTTTGTTTTGCAGTGATGATTTCCCTGTTGAGCATAGCATAGAGAGATTTAATTTCAGAAGCGTGATCCTAAATGTCCATTACTGCAGCTATAATAAACATTCACCTGTTTATTCCTTAAACAGCATGTTTCCTAGAGCTATTCCTCTTGTTCCTTATTCCACACTTTCTCATGTCAATCAAATTATCAGTAACAGTAATCACAATTCCATTAGGAACTAATTACATATATGCAACTTCAAGCTAGTTTACCTCTTTGCTAACATTATGTCCAAGATTTTTAACTGCAGTCAATCCAGCTTGCTTCTGGCTCCATTAATTATGGTTACACATCTTTACAAAGTATTAAGACCTAGAACTCATCTTGATGATATTGTGCTGCTTCAGAAAGAAGAAAGACCTATAAAATGGAGTAATTTGTAGTTAGCTTACTTCCTCTGTCTTCAGATGCATTGAACTCTGTCTGCCACCCACTCTAAGAGTTCCACCATTCTCATTTCATATCTGCTCAGTTCCTGAGTGACACAGTGAGCTCCCCAAATGATCTTGTTTTTCTTGCTTGACTATGTGCTTACTGGAGTTGAGAATAGAGCCTTGCTGACAAAATGTGGACAAAGATGACATGAAGCAGGCTAGAGGGTGGGTCATCATAGATACTTTTGAAAGCTGTTACATGAACTCACTTCTTTCCCAAGAACATGAAAGGAACAGGGTGTAATTCTTCCAATAGAGAGTGCGAAAAACAATGGCTTGCATGGATGTGGTGCACCTTGCAAGGAAACTATAGGTTTGAACCGTACCAGAAAGAACAATCTATTTCAAATATTCTAGCAAAGTAGTTTTTATATGCTGTTACAACTGAGATCAATATTTATATCAATGTGTATGTATTGGTACATTTCCATAATAATCTGTGTAATTTTCTTTGTTTGCTATATGCATGCATCTCTTCCCCAGACAATGATGGAAATTAAGGGGAACATTTGCAACCAACAAAGAGGAAAAATAGTCTATGAAGATATATCATACTGTAGCCTATATTAAATTGAAGCTTGTGCAATCCAACTTGCTGACTTTAAGTGTTTAATGAAAACAGAATAATTATCTCCTCTCTAGGCAGGTAGAGAACTCCTTTGGGATTTAAGCACATGCATCAGGAGAAGAATAGATCTGTGTATTTCTGGAAAGTTCACACCCACAGTGTTACACTTTGTTTCTGCAGTCGGGATAGTTAAGAAGAAATGCTGTTCTGAAAAAGAAAATGGGTGCAAATCCTAAAGCTTGGTGTTTCCAGTACTCACTTTTAAAAAGCAGCTTTCAAATGCTTGTGTCTGTATTGCACTTTACTTGTAAAGCTATTAATTTAAAAAGCCTTCCTGAAACCCTGCTAAACTCTTTCCGTTGCAGGTCCTTTTTAACTGTAAAAGAATGGGGCAAAATTCTAGCTGATTGATTTACAAAGACCTGAAAAAAACATAGTTTATGTGGAAAGTCAGGAAACATCCTTAACCAAAGTGATGCCACTGAATGCCAGGGCTGTCAGTTTAATAAAATAAGTAATTCCAAAATGGCTTAAGGTGGATAGAAGACAAGGCAGCTCTAAAGGAGAGACAAAAGAGTGAGGAGGAGAACTGTGAAACTAAAAGATGCTTCTCCATTAGTTCTTCCCAATTGCCTGTGGCCAGTAGAAGTGTTCTCTGAAGCAAAATGCCTTGGGTTGTTGATTTTATACAGACAGCTTTCTGACTTACAAATCAGCAAAGCAGTACCTTCCTTTTGGGTTTTTTTTTTTTTTGCTTAAAGTCAGTTACTTCATTGTTCATGTCTTTTATAGCCACAGGAATCCATAAAAAGTAGGTATAGCTTGTCTAGTTTTTTTTCTTATGTCTTCATGCCTTCCTTCATCTAGTAGGTATGCTTGCACATGTGTTGGGAGATATTGTGAGTTGCTGTTTTTATTAAGGTTGGCTTTTATGTTGTTATAATATGATGAGTTTATAATGTTTTTCTGCCTTTTAATTTCATTGGGAAAAAAAGAAGCAATTTTTTCCTCATCAGGTGTCTTCTGCAAAAACAATTTAATACTAACTTCTTTTATTTTGCAGAGCTGGTTATTTGCCTCAGAATATTCCTTTGGAAATCATCAGATACCTTTCAGAGGAGATGGACTTTTTGCCTTGGCATGCTGCCAGCCGAGCTCTTTATCCTCTGGATAAATTGCTGGACCGCACAGAAAACTACAACATCTTCAATGTAAGAGATACAGTCTGCCTCCTTTCATTGCCAAGAGTTGAACTATTCCCCATATTCCCCAGTCAGATACTGTAAATGACCTAGGGATATTAGCTTTCTTCCTAATTATTCTTTATTTAAACATAGCAATTGTCAAGCTTTGGTTCATTTGCATTTGAACAGTGATAACTGTTGTTTGAGGCATATATGATTAGTAGAAGGAAAGGTAATTATCCCTCCTGTAAAATATTATGACAAACAAAGTATTTCACTTAAAGGACCCAAAGTAATCTATTTCCAGATTTTCTCTTTTGAGGAGCCCCACGGCAATATTTAGATTGGTGCCAAAGCTCAGCAAGGACACCAAATGCAGGCACAACTGAACAAGATGCATGCAACTGAAGTAAAGATTTGTAGTCATTATTTCATTCAAAAAGCCATGGTGAATTCAATGCAGTTACCTTAATTAACAAGGATTAGATCACCATTGAATCAAAAGCCCATTCATAACTGGGTCTGAAGGGACAGCAATAACAGCTATCAGTAGATAATAAAGATAGCCATGACAAACGTTTTAACATTTTACCTGAAATAAAAAAAAAATTCCTAGCTACACTGAAGCATGTTTGATGAAGTACACAGGATTCGATTGCAGCCAGTGACAGTTATGAACTCTTGGGATTGTTTTTATTCACTATGAATTTTATATAGTCTACATATTTTCAATGGCCAACATACTGTAATTTTAGGTAATTTTGTAAAGCCTTCGAATGAAGGAACTCTCTAAAGCCTGAAATGTTTAAAGGTTTTTTTTTCTTCTTAAACGTGTATTTGCTTGTGTGTGTGTGTGTCCAGAGACACACATGCTCAGAAAGCAGGAAGCTAGAGGTGGCTGGATGGATGTATAGATGTAGAAGTACGTACATATATATACACACACATATACACATACACAGAGATACCTGCTGACATGGAGGAATATTTTTGTAGAACATACGCTACAGATGAATAAAGACACATTGAGATTTTTTTCTTTATGAACCTACAATGCGGGCCTACATGCAAACCAGAGCCACAATATAAAATGATGTGGAAATAACTTGTATGTTTCATCTGTTGTTAACTGCAGAGAAAAATTCTTACGAGTCTGCCATTGCTATTTCACTTTTAAACATGGCTGTGTAAAGAAAACACAATTTTAATAAATAAAACCAGTAAAATTCATGGCTGGGTTGTGTTTTATCACTATTGATGAGAGCTTTGAAAGCAGAGGTGATAGCAGAGGAAATAAAAAGTCTTTTTAGTCACAGAGTAACATATCTGCTAGAGAAAGCTGCACTGTGAATCTCCTTTTGTGTTGATATCATATATATATGCCTGTGCATCCACAATAATAAAATAGATGAGCTCCTATGTGGTTCTTTATATCTCAGTGCTCTTTCTCAAATTGGGAAATTCCACTGACAAAAGATTATGCTGAATACAATGACAGTGGTTTTCTTCACAACTGGCCAGAATATGTAAATGTGTCTCCTGTTTAAAAAGTAAAAGTAAGCTAAAATACATCTTGGGCTTGTTTTGTTCTTTAAGCACACGGACAACCTAAACTTAAAACAGTGTCATTAAATGTACAAAGCGCATTTGCAGCCACATTGTTCAGTATTCTGAAGTCAATTGACAATACTTATGTGGCGTTTTTGCCATGGCTATGGATATTAAAACAATATTCTTTTAAAAGTGAACATGCACGGTGTAGTCAAGATTGATCACAGAGTAGAAATTAAGCTGTTGACACTCTGAATTCAAAATAGCATGTAAGAAACTCTTCTTAAATTGATAAGGTGTATAACAATAACTTGTCTTGTCCTAGGCATCTAATCAAATAGCTGTTTCATGGATTACTTCTCACTATAGCAGTGAAGGGGGATTATATGTGGACATGTTGCTTTGCTAAATGCAAATCAAAATCTTTGGAAAGTAGGACATTATTTGAGGGTAAAAAAGAGAGACAAAAACTCAATAGTCAATAGTATTTCAATTTCAAATAAAAAAATAAAAAACAAATGTCAACACTGAATATATTTTTTTCCCCCCTCAGGAGTATATTTTAAGACAAGTTGCATCAATGTATCTGAAGCTTGGATGGCCAACGAATAATTTAAACAAATCGCTTGTTCAAGCATCCTACCAACATGAGTACTGTTATTTATTTTTTTTGCTATTGTTTGTTTGCAGGATATAGTTGTAATAATGCACTCCCCTAAAATTTGGTTTCATCTTTAGTATGTCATACTTTCCTAGCTTTGTCTTCCTTCTGCTTTTCCTTTCTGGGTTAGAGGGAGAGGAGCAAGATGCTGTGAGATGAATTCCTCTTTCCTGAGTTTGGAGAATATGATTTCCTAAGCCTTAATTTAAAATTTGACTGCACTGGATATTTAAGAACTTGGACTCATGTGACCACAGAGGTCAGGAAGAATGCATAAGTGTAAATGGGGGCTGGTTTTGGTCCATGACCTTTCTGTAGTTGTTGCAGCAGCTGTAGGCATTAAGTTGTCACTGAGATTTCTATAGCTGGGTTATCCTTGATATGTTGCCCAACTATGAGTTGCTGCCAGTGTTATAAGACATAACTTTTTGTAGACATTCAAACACGTTAATTAATGCAGCCTTATTGCTTGCTTAAATTTGGACAGAGAGTTGCGTCGGGAAGTCATCATGTTGGCCTGCAGCTTCGGTAACAAGCACTGTCACCAGCAGGCTGCAACGTTAATCTCGGATTGGATTTCTAGCAATAGGAACCGGTAAGTGGAACTGAAATGTGTATTTCCCATTTCTCTTACTCAGAGGCTGTACAGCTAGCATGCTCTTCCTCTCCTGCCCACCCCCATCCACAGTGCACTGTTCTGCAGAGTGGTATGGGAGGAAGCAGAGGTCGCTGGCTGTTATTTAAAAATGTCTGTGGAGCTTCAGAATGAATTATTTGACTTTGCATGTATGAGTGGGTGGAGGGGACAGCCATGTAGCCGCTGCCCACTCCTGATAAATTGCTGTCAGATAATTATATGCTAGAAGGTGAGAAGATGGGTTTTAAGGAGGGGTTTAAAGGAAGAAAGGTGAGTGAACACCACATTGGCAGACAAACATGGAGCCTGTGTCGGGGCAAGACAGCAGAAGGTTCTAAGTGATTAAAGAAGTGAGAGAGGTTAGAGGCAGAAGGACTTAGAAGTATGAAAGGAGAAAACAATGTATTTGAGGGAAATGTTATGAAGTACTTAAGCGTGAAGACTTGGAAATTAATGTGATTCAGGAATACATGGAATATCTCATGTAAGGTTTCAGAGAGGGGTAATATGATAGCTGATGTGTTGAGCATTAGCAGCACTGTGGTGGTTTAACAGCAAATATGTACGTTAGGCTGTCCAGACACAGGTTTATTCAGCTGAGGCAAGGGAACATGGGCCGTGGATGGTGTATGAAGTTTATCTTATAAAGGCATGTATCTAAGAAATGTTAAATTACTGCAAATACAAATATTTAAGTACATAGTGATCTATGGACAATAGGTACAGAGTATAGGTTAAGACCATGACTTCTTGAGAAAGAATGGTGGATTTTCTGATTATGTGGAATGTGGGTGTAGAAGTATTTGCATAAGTACATCACATGATATTTTGGTCTAAAGGAAAATACTTTATTTTCAAGTGACAAAAAGAGAAGCGAAAAAGTCTTACATTTTTAGTCCCAATCTTGTATTAACTCTGCAGAAAGTTCTGATCTCTATAGACATATAGACATGCAGGATTTTTCAAAGACATCTTGCGCCAATCAGGTGGGTTTTTACGTGGTGGGTTGACCCTGGATGGATGCCAGGTGCCCACCAAAGCCGCTCTATCACTCCCCCTCCTCAGCTGGACAGGGGAGAGAAAATATAATGAAAAGCTCCTGGGTCGAGGTAAGGGCAGGGAGACATCATTCACCAATTACCGTCATGGGCAAACCAGACTCAACTTGGGGAGATTAGTTTAATTTATTACCAATCAAATCAGAGTAAGGTAATGCGAAAATAAAAACCAAACCTTAAAACACCTTCCCCTCACCCCTCCCTTCTTCCCAGGCTCAACTTCGCTCCCAATTTCTCTACCTCCTTCCCCCTGAGTGGTGCAGGGGGACAGGGAATGGGGGTTGTGGTCAGTTCATCACACGTTGCCCCTGCCACTCCTTCCTCCTCAGGGGGAGGACTCCTCACACTCTTCCCCTGCTCGAGCGTGGGGTCCCTTCAACAGGAGACAGTCCTCCATGAACTTCTCTAATGTGAGTCTGTGCCACAGGCTGCAGTTCTTCACAAGCTGCTCCAGCATGGGTCCCTTCCACAGGGTGCAGTCCTTCAGGAACAGACTGCTCCAGCCTGGGTCACAAGGCTGGGGTCATGGGGGCACAAGTTCTGCCAGCAAACCTGCTCCAGTGCGGGCTTCCCACGGGGTCACAGCCTCCTTTGGGCACCCACCTGCCTTGGCATGGGGTCCTCCACAGGCTGCAGGTGGATATCTGCTCCACCATGGACCTCCATGGGCTGCAGGGGGACAGCCTGCCTCACCATGGTCTTCACCACAGGCTGCAGGGGAATCTCTGCTCTAGCACCTAGGGCACCTCCTCCCCCTCCTTCTTCACTGACCTTGGTGTCTGCAGAGTTGTTTCTCTCACGTATTCCCACTCCTGTCTCCGACTGCAATTACGCACAGGTTTGTTTTTTTTTTTTTCCCCTTCTTACATATGTTATCCCAGAGGTGCTACCACTGTTGCTGATGGGCTCGGCCTTGGCCAGCAATGGGTCTATCTTGGAGCTGGCTGGCATTGGCTCTGTTGGACATAGGGGAAGCTTCTAGAAGCTTCTCACAGAAGCCACCCCTGTAGCCTCTGTGCTACCAAAACCTTGCCACGCAAACCCAATACAGTTTACAATTAAACTGTGTCTGTCTGGCTTTGTATTCTTTGAAAATTCTTTACAGGCATACCCAGTTACGTAAGTACCTGAGTGTCTTTTAAAACCAGCCATGAACTGAGCATTAATGAAAATTGCATTCCTATATGACTTTGAAACTTCTGAAAAAAAATTATCTTGAAACTGTGGCTATGTACCTTTATATAAGATGTGTGTGAGGGGGAGGGTGTTCTTGTGTAAAATGATACCAGATGTATTTACTATGACATATATACCCCAGGGTTTTGTATGAATTCTTATTGTCAGCAGCAACAATCAGTATGAAACTATTCAAAGAGGAGATTAAAGAGAAAGAAGCATTGGAAACAATCTGCAAAAATAATTTACTTAGATATTCATTTGCAAAATTAGTTAATCAAACCTAGCACCATCTATTAGCATGCACAGTCGTAGATTATTCAGTGTTAAAAAGCCGTCACCCTGCAAAGCTTTCTCCTACCCTGTGTCTTCATCCTTTCCAACAGGACTGAAGAAGGAGGCATCAGAAAAAAAAAAAAAAAAAAAAGCTTATTGCTTTGGTAACAATAGCAAGAGAGAAAAGGAATAAATTTAAGGAGCCATCTAAAGACTTATCTTCTATGGGGCCATTCTTGGGAGCACAAGACTGTGGCTGCCAGCATATGACGAATATTATGATAAAAGCATCACAGCAGGGCAGAGGAAGAGAATAGCTACTAAGTTAAAGCAGCGCATTCCTCCAAAGGAACTGCACAGTTTTGAAAAATAGCTGCAACAAATAATGTAATTACAGAGTACAGATTGACAGTCAGCTGATAAATAGGGGTACAACTTGCAGAGAAGACAAAGACATGTTTTTATTTATTTATTAAGATTATAGGATTTGTTCAGTTCCCCACCCCAGAATTTATGAGTTGCTGTTCTCAGAGCAGTCTCACATACTGAATATAACTAAGATATGAGCAGACTCATTTCATATCTACTTATATTGAAAAGACATTGCAAAGGCTACTAGTAATAGCAACTTGGTAGACATAAAATCAGCTTATGTTTCACAGTAAGGGGGTACCCCATGTCTCCTTTGCTCTATTTAAACCAACTCGAACTGAAACCTGATAATAAAGCAGGGTCTGTTTTCCCTGCTTTTCCACCAAGAAAATGGTGATGATTCTACAATAAGAATTTAATTAACATGGTGTCTGAGTCATGCCTTTGCCTCTTTTAGCACTTCAGAGACAATAGCTAGCTCAAGTGCAAAGGCCAAGCAGATAAGTACAAGATACATGCAGAGAGCACATCCAACAGGTGCCATTTTGTATTCTTTCTCATCAGTCAAGTGTTTTGCTTAGTTTGATGCCTTTAACAGCTGTTTGTCAATTTGCTGCAAACAGCCACCTCAGAATCTGTAGGAATCCCTCAGAGCTTGTTTCCTCACACAGAATGGGAAACTCATGCTGCTCATCTTTCTCCAGACTTTTCTGACAGCTCCTGGTGAGGAAGGCTGGTGACAGGTACAGAAACTATATGTATCCTTGCCTGTTCCACTCCTTATCCACAATGAGTAAAGTTGTATCTGCTGAAAACTACTCTAAAAATTCTTGTAGATGCCCTTTCCTCTTCTGAAACTGAACAAAGACATTGACTGATGCATTGCAGAAAGCCTGGTCTTGGTAGGTTTGCGTAGCCAGAGCACAAAGATAGAGTTCTAGAGAGCTCAGAGATATTTTTATATACAGGTATAATTTGAGTTTGACTATGAGAGTAAAAATAAAGGCTAATTTGCAACCTTTCCATCCATGCCTTCCCAAAAACCTTATTCTGGAAAGCAAGGTATTTCATACAATGAGCTAATTCACAAGCGGCGCATGTTGGAAGGAACACAAATTCTTCAAAGCAGTAGACCCCAAAATGAGACTAGGGAATAGGCTTGTGTCCCAAGATTCTAATCAGTACAAAATTAGGGCAATATTATGTGAAGATGTGGTATTAAATACCACGTAAACGCACAGGCAGTAAATCATGTAAAAGAGGATTTTGATTCCCTGGCAGTTACTGCAGTTAAAGTTCTAATAAGCATAACAGAATGTGCAATTAATAATACTGTACAAATGCTAACATTCATAACTTTTTAGCCATGTTTTTAATCTATGGCTTTTTAGAAGTTCTGTTGAAATGTTTTTTCTGTTTTACTTGTAGCATTTAATTATGGATAAAGTGTTCGGTAATAAATAAATACAGTAACATCTAACTCTGTTTTACCAGCACATGCCTACAGTTGCTGTGGTTTCTAGTAATTATATTTGGTCTGGGAAATCCAGAAATTAATTACCATCTACTCTTCACTGTAGGGAATTGAAATAATCATAATAATCAGTTACTGTTTGTACTTTGTAATTACATGTTCTTTACTGTGCAAATAATTTGCCACTGTTCACCAAGTAAAATAATGGTCATTCATAGCACAAAGCCAAAGGTCCTCTTTGTGTTTCTCGCACTATTTGAAAAAAGACATTAGATTTCCAACTGTAGCACTGCAGATTTTCTTATGGAATTAGTAAAAAAAAAAACCCATACATGTGATCTGCAACATTAGCCTCCGTATATGAAAGTAGAAGTCAGCTGAGAGGCTTGAAGGCTTGAGTTTCTAAAGTGACTTAGGTTTTGCAGTATTTCATTTTTAGATACCTGGCTCACAGGGCAGAATCAGACGCTTGGAGTTATGCTTCCTACAAGGGGATTTGGGAATGTTTAAATGAAGTTGGTTGCAGCCACTATGCTGAGTGAAGAGCCTCTTAATATGAGATTGTGAAGAGAGAGTGTGCCCTCTTAGAGTCCAGCACTACA